GTAAGCTGCCATATGAGCTGAGTAAATAGTACATCTCTCTCACCACTCGCCACACATGAGTGTCTGAGATTTTAGTTGAGTCTATTGAGTGTCAAGCCACATGGTGTCTTCTTCAATCTCCATCGGCGCACGTTGTTTTAACTGTGTAGCAGATATAATGTTTCGAATGTTTTCATCTCAAAGAATTAATGTTGTCATCTTGCTTCTAAAACCCTATTTTTTTTCCTTGTGAACGCAAATGCCTAATGAGCTATTTGACAAAACACGCTAACACTATCTGGAGAAATATCTTAGTGAAGCGTTTCTTCCTTCCCTTGCCTATAATATTTGCAATGAGATATTTATTTTCCTGGTTTTCTCTGCTGCTTTCATAGAGAAAAAAAGGCATGAGCTCCTACAAAGTACATCCAATCCAGTTTGGTCCTGCCTTTTATATAAACGTGAATGAGAAGAGTTGCATGCTCTCCTAGTAAGCAATGGAGGCCATGACCCACCAAAGAACCCATCATACAATTAACCTGTATGTAAAAAATCTAGTTACTAAACTCTAAGTCAGATTCTTGTGTTTAACAAATCTAAACAACAAAATTTAAGTTATTCAAGGTCCTAAATAAATAGCAGCAAACTTGCTACATGGTTTGTCCTCCCTCCCCGATCTCCTACAGGTTTCTCTTGTCATAGTTGTCCTCTGATCTACCATCCTCAGCTTCTGCAATGGAGAAGCCTTCTACTTGCCGAGTTTCTAGACCGGCGGTTGTCTTGTCATGGTTGTTGTCGCTGTCGCATCGACATCGGTGTCAGTAGACATCTGACACATCACGTGAGAAAAGGTACCTGAAGGTGAGGGGATATACCCCGACATGCATACATGATGCTATTCCGTTGGCTTGAGGCCGAGCAGTGATGTCGCTAGCATGTACTACTCATGTGTGGATGCTAGGTCGCTGCCCTGGATCCATTTGTGTTCCGACTTGTGCAAACAACTAAGATAGAGGTCGCTGCCCAGGTCTTTGTCGCAAGGCTTGCAACTGTTAGAAGGGAGAAAGAGAGATTGGTGGAATAGTTCGTTGTATTGTTTGAGCCTCGTGGGCATATATATATAGGAGTACATGATTATGTTGGAGTATAAGGCAAGGTAGAATAATATCCCACGCTATCCTAGATTTCCTAATAATCACGATACTCAACATTCCCTCGCAGTCACAACGATAGCGACGCAGACGGTG